TAAGGACTTCCATACAGTTCAATTTTCTGACAGTTCTGAGTGTTATTTGTTTTTAGATTTAGTTGTATTCTTTTTATGGTTGCATAAGGAGGTGAAGCATGTCTGCCTACACCTCCATCTGGACTGTAATTCAAAATGATCCTTTCTAAGAACATTTTTCAGTGATACTGTTCAGTATGGGCAAAATGGGTCTGTGGTTTTTTTTTTTCACTTTCCACTATAAATTGAAATGTAATAAAATTGTCTTTACTTTCTTTTTTTTATAAAAAGTGATAGGTACAGAAATCTTTATAGGAGAATCTCATCAGATATTTAAGAAGTAGCTTTTGTTACATGAATTGTTCTGAACAACTGAAAACTAGGGAAATCTTCTTATCTAATTTTATAGACATAACTTTGATTTTAATATTGCACAAGACCAATATGAAAAAGGGAAAAATTGTAAACTAATTTTACTTGTAAATATGTATGCCAATGTTTTTTCAAAAATGTTTTTTCAAAGACAGTTTACATATATTATTATTTTATATTAGTTTTAAGTGTACAGCGTAGTAGTTAGATAATCATACTTTACAAAGTGTTCCCCCTGATACTTCCAGTATCCAGCTGGCACCATACATATTTATTACAATATTATTGACTCTATTTCCTGTTCTGTACTTTACATCCGTATGACTGTTTTGTAGCTACCAATTTGTACTTCTCAATCCTTTCACCTTTTTCACCCAGTCCCCCAAGCCCCTTCCCCTGTATGCAAACATTTCAAATAAAAAATAGCAAACCAAAAAAACAAAAGTGCTAGGTTAATTTCGGGGAAGAGACCTCATTTAGGAAGACACTGGTATCATTCAGCTCCTACAGGAGAAACATTTTTTATTCATTGAATATTAAATAAGCAATTGGCACCTGGCTGAAGATTAGGCCCATATTTACAACTTGAGGCTCATTTTTCTCCAAAGTTTTCAATATCTAGGTAGGTAGTACAGGTGCCTTGTCTGCGTTGACATTACCCCTTGCATATGGTATGTACTCAATATTAGTGATTGAATTGAGCCAAATGGAAATTAAATTCCTTGAGCCTATTACGGTGAAATACCAAGTTTCTAATTATATTTACAGTCATTTTTAGTTTTTAAGGCTTTGAAGGATGTGGCACTTTGTATTGACTCTGTGATACAATTCTAAATTCTTTTAATAATAAAAAGGCTCATATGCCACAATTAGGTATTCCCTTAAGGAGTGACTGAGGATAGATTATAGGATCATTATGTAATTAAAACATTTTAAGTCTAACATCAACCATTTGGCAGAGTATTTGAAACAAATCTGGTTTTAGCACTCGTGTTAAAGTACCTTCCATTATTGCTCTTTGACTTCCATTGCATTTACATGTCACTGGGTTGCAGTGGTTGGTTTTATTTGTGGCTTCTCTGCAGGTTCACTGCCTCAGCTATTAATCACAAAGCCTAGGAGGAAAATCCAAGGATAAATAGGCCTTTTTCCACCTTTTATCTTTTATGGAAACAAAAATCACTCATTCTTTAAACATTGTTTTAAGTAAACTGTGCTAAGGTTATTTTGTTTTGTTTGTTTTCAGTGAGTTATCAAGACAGCTGTTTTCTGTTCAAATACTTCCCTCCATAAAACCCATAGGATAAGGCTGGCCTCTGGGCAAACCTGTTTACCAGTTCTTAATAGTAACATCTCTGCCTTCTAGGGCTCTATCAGATTTTTAACTAGTTTCATTGAAATAACTGCAGTCTGACTTTTCAGAGTTCCCCTTCTTCCTCCCCCTATTTTCCCTCTGGGTTCTGGCATTGCAGGTGTCTAACTGAACACTGTGATGCTTCAGAGGAAACTTGAATCTTGTTTTAGCTTTTTATTGAGAAAACAGAATTTCCCCATAACAAAGGAAAGCACTAGGAGCACAGGGGCGGCAGAGGTGGGGAGTGTTATGTTGAAGTCTGCCATAGAGCTGTGTTTGTATTCTGGGGCCAGAAGTGCATCACTCTCATGATGGATTCTCCAGATTTGGTTCTTTTGTGTGTGGGACCCGAGGTGAAGTAACACTTCCTGGCTGGGGTTTAGGGAGGCACAAAATCAAACCATTTAGAGCATACTTTTCAAAACGTGAGTCTGACCATAGCATTAACTAGTCTCCAGGCTATTATTTGAAGATGATAATACCAATGAATGGTTCAGGAAGTTTAAATTATACAGTGTACTGTGGAACAGTACTCATTTCTATCGCCCATGGTATCCCTGCCTGTGATTTCTTTTGTTAGATTTGGTACAAATAAATATGTGGACTTTAAAATTGGTAGTTAATAAACAAAGATCTGTTACATATGTGCTTAAAGAATGTTGTACTGCTTCCTACCCTTTCAGAAATATTAGTATTTATGAAAATGTACACTAACTGTAGGTTAAGATTGATGAGGCAGAATGTGCTCATATTTTCAGAAGGGGTTTGGAAGTATTTGAATGTAGTGCTACTTGAATATTATTGTTTAAACCATTATTGCATTCCACGATATATTAGTTTGCCATAACAACGTACCACAGGCTTAAAGAACAGAAGTTTATTTTCTCACAGTTCTGGAGGCCAGAAGTCCAACATCATTGTGTTGGCCAGGTTGATTTCTCCTAACCCCTCTCTTCTTGGCTTGCAGATGGCCACATTTTTTGCTGTGTCCTCACATGGCCTATTCTCTGTGTGCATGCATCCCTGGTATCTCCTTGTGTGTCCAAGTTTCCCTTCTTGTAAGGATACCAGACAGGTTGGGTTAAGGTCTACCCTAAGAACCTCATTTTATTTTATCTTTTAAAGATTTTATTTATTTTTAGAGAGGAAGGGAAGGAGAAAGAGAGGGAGAGAAATATCAATGTGTGGTTGCTTCTCACACACCCCCACCAGGGACCTGGCCCACAACCCAGGCAAGTGCCCTGACTGGGATATGAACCGTTGACCCTTTGGTTCACAGGCCGGTGCTCAATCCACTGAGCCACACCAGCCAGGGCTAAGAACCTCATTTTAACTTAATGACTTCTTTAAAGAATCTATCTCCAAATACAGTTACATTCTGAACTGCTGGAGTTTAGCTTGTCAACATAGGAATTTTGGGCAGGGGACACAATTCAGCCCTTAACACAAAAAAAGAAACATTATATTACTTTAAGAAAAGAATTGATGGTATAAATGAGTGGGTCTAGAAATCACCTTGAGCATTCATCTCCATCTTTACCCAGTGCCCCAATAAATGAGTTGTGATAGGCTTTGGATCCTGGATCCAAAACTAGCACCAGAACCTTGGGTAAGATGCTTAACAACACTGAAGCAGTCCCTCAGAAGGGAGGGTGATAGCAGCTGCCTGTTAGAGATGTTGTAAAGAGAAGACTATATATGTTCAGTCGGATCCCTGCACCTGGTTCATGCCCTCTCTTAACACCTGCCTGTTGCTGGTGTTTCTGTTATTGTTATTAGTCACTTAATACACCTAACTGAATGAATTTCTATAGCATCATCTCTTCTGACTTTGCTATTGACCCTTTCACTGTAAGCCTCCGAAAGGATCTTATGGTAATCAATACATACTTTTGATAATAGTCCTCATGAGTCTGTGTGATTCTGCTGCCCTGGCCTTTGTTTAGGTCCCAGCTTCTTTCCTTGTAATTTATTTGGAGCCCATGTACTCTTGAGAAAATCCCATAAGTTGGCTATCCTAGTGCCCTGACATTAAGATATCCTTGGAACTTCCACTAGGTTTCTATCTGTGAGTCCTGTTTCATCTAGTCTACTTAGCATTAAATTGTTAAAAATTCTCTTTTAAAAAAAAAATTGAGGTAAAATTCTCTTAACATAAAGTTAACCATCTTAGTCCTTCAGAAATTAAAAAATATAATTACCATAGGATCCATCGATTCCACTTCTGGGTAGCTAGATAGTTCTATAGACATAGATATGCAGGATGGGGCAAAAGTAGATTTATAGTTTTTTGTATGGAAAATAACACAATAATTAATAAATAGTTATAAAAGAATAAACTTTTGCATACTTAAAGCTAAAAATCTGCTTTTCCCATACTACATATATATATGCATTGTTGGCCAGGTTGATTCCTGACTCCTTAAGGAAATACCTAATTGTGGCATATGAGCCTTTTCATTATTAAAAGAATTTAGAATATCACAGAGTCAATACAAAGTGCCACATACTTCAAAGCCTTAAAAATTAAAAACGGCTGTAAATATGATTAGAAAATTGACATATATAATAAGTTGGCCACCCTAATGCCCTTACATTAAGGTATCCTGAGAATTTCCAGTAGGTTTCCATCTGTGGGTCAAAAAATTGAAAGCAGGATCTCATAGCAGCATTAGTCACAGTAGTCAAAAGATGAAAGCAACCCAAGTGTCCAACAGATGAATGGATAAAGAAGATGCGGTTTATATATACAATGGAATATTACTCAGCCTTAAAAAAGGAAGGAAACTCTGGCATATGCTACAATGTGGATGGACCCTGAGGACATTATTCTGAGTAAAGTAAGTCAGTCACAAGAACACAAATACTATGCAATATCATTTATTTGAGGTACCTAGAATAGTCAAATTCATAGAAAACGGAATGGTGATCATCCTAATGGGGGATAGGTATGTGAGAGGAGGGGAAGTCAAGAGTTTGTTCAGCCATAAAACCAGCTCAGCTTCCTAATTTTCCAGTTTTCTCTGGTGAGTTCTTTGGTTAAATATGTTTCTCTTATACTTTACTGGTATCATTTGCTTATTACCTCCCTTTCTTCAGCTCTTTTCTTAGGAAGATTAGAGCACAATCAAGCCCCTGGCGCGCATCTGTAGGATTTTAGCTAAAGTTCTGGTTGGTTTGTTTTTTTTAAAATACCATTACTTTTTGTTGTCAGTTAGAAGATATGATAAGTATCCCAGCTCTAAAGAAAGAAGTCTATCAGCTAATGACCAAGATTTTAATCTCTGTTTTTCAGGTTCACTACAATGTTGGCAAAAACCTGGCTGATAAAGGCAATCAAACAGCTGCCATCAGATATTACCGAGAAGCTGTGAGGTACTGCAGGCACACTTATATATGTGTCTTGTTTTAACTTTCTAGGGTTCAAAACCTGTCCTTTTAAAGATCCTTACTGTAAGATACTTTGCCAATTCCTGAGAGTTTAGTGAAGAACACTGGGCATTAACAGATGGCTTGGTTTTTCTCTCCACTTTCAGATTAAATCCTAAGTATGTTCATGCCATGAATAATCTTGGAAATATTTTAAAAGAAAGGAATGAGCTACAGGAAGCAGAGGAGCTGCTGTCTTTGGCTGTACAAATACAGTAAGCATTGCTTTTATAATTATGTTAGGTACAAAGAAATGAGCTCTTTCCTTTTGGGGGTCTAAGCCTTCCTTTTCCTTGTTTACCTTTTTCAAATGCTCATCCAGGCCAGACTTTGCTGCTGCATGGATGAATTTAGGCATAGTGCAGAACAGCCTGAAACGGTTTGAAGCTGCCGAGCAAAGTTACCAGACAGCAATCAAACACAGACGGAAATACCCAGATTGTTACTATAACCTTGGGCGTTTGGTAAGTGTAAGGTGGCCTGTGGCTATGAAAGAAAAGCTTGTTTTTTTTCTTCATTTATAATAAATTGAGGGTAGTAACACCATTACTAGCATTTGCCATCTTATAAAGTTCTTTCACTTAGGGTTATCATATTTGGAGGTAGCTTTTTGATTTCCTTATATTTAACTTTTTAAGCTCTAATTAAAGAACAATCTAACATGAATTAGCCAAGCTTAAGAAAGCTCAAAGGAAATAGGGCAAGCCAAGGAATAAATTAGAATTTTTAAAGTCCCTTGTGCCCTAAAAACAGTAATCCAACAGGTAACTCCCTAGTAAATATCAGTTTCTCTGTTTTTAAAACACAAATAAATACTGAGAATTTTTTTAAAAACCCATAATGTGATTTTTTACAACTTTTATTGAATTGATTAGTGACATTGGTTAATAAAATTATATAGGTTTCAGGTGTATGGTTCTATAATACATCATCTGTATATTGTATTGTGTGTTCACTACCCCAGATCAAGTCCTCCCCTCACCCCCTTTCCCTTTGGTAACCATCATACTGTTGTCTGTGTCTATGAAGTTTTTCTTTCTTTGCTTAAATCCCCTCACCTTTTTCACCCAACCCCCTAACTCCTCTCCCCTCTGACAGCTGTCTCTCTGTTTTCTGTATCTATGACTCTGTTTCTATTTTTGTTAGTTTATTTTGTTCATTGGATTCCACACGTAAGTGAAATAATATGGTACTTGGTCTTTCTCTGACTGGCTTATTTCACTTAGCATAATACTCTCTCCAGGTCCATCCATGCTGTCGCAAAAGGTAAGATTTCCTTCTTTTTCACAGCCAAATAGTATTCCATTGTGTAAATGTGCCACAGCTTTTTTATCCACTGACCTACTGGTGGGCACTTGGGCTGCTTCCAAATCTTGACTATTGTAAATAATGCTGCAATGAGCATAGGAGTGCATATATTCTTTCAAATTCGTGTTTCAGGTTTCTTAGGGTACATTCCCACAAGTGGAATTGCTGGGTCATAAGGCAGTTCCACTTTTAATATTTTGAGATGATTCCATATTGCTTTCCATAGTGGGTGCACCAATTTGCATTCCTACCAACAGTGCACAGGGGTTCCCTTTTCTCCTTCACTTGTTTGTTGATTTATTGATGGTAGCCATTCTGACCAGTGTGAGGTGATATCTCATTGTGGTTTTAATTTGTATTTCTGATAATTAGTGATGCTGAGCATCTGTTAATCATCTGTATTTCCTCTTTGGAAAAGTGTCTATTGAGGTCCTTGGCCCACTTTTTAATTGGATTTTTTTTGGTGTTGAATTTTATAAGTTCTTTATAAATTTTGGATATTGTTATCAGATGTATCATTGACAACTATATTCTCCCATTCAGTGGGCTGTCTTTTTATTTTATTTATTGATGGTTTTCTTTGCTGTGCGAAAACTTTTTAGTTTGATGTACCGTTATTTATTTTTTTCTTTTGTTTCCCTTGCCTGAGGCAGTAGATCAGAAAACAACATTTTGACGTGAAGTGTCTGAGATTTTACTACCTACATTTTCTTCTACGTTTTTTATGATTTCTAGTTTAACATTTAAGTCTTTATTCCATTTTGAGTTTATCCTTGTCTGTGGTGTAAGAACGTCATCTAGTTTCATTTTTTTGCACATATCTGTCTAATTTTCCCAACACTATTTATTGAATAGATGACTGTATTTATCCCTTTGTATGTTTTTGTCTCCTTTGTCAAATACTAATTGACAATAAAGATATGGATTTATTTCTGGGTTGTCTATTCTGTTTAATTGTTCTGCATGACTGTTTTTATGCTAGTTCCATGCTGTTTTGATTATTATGACCTTGAAGTATAGTTTGATATCAGGTAGCATGATTCCTCCAACTTTGTACTTCTTTCTCAAGATTGCTGTGACTATTCAGGGTCTTTTGTGGTTCCATATAAATTTGGGGGATATTTGTTTTAATTCTGTAAAATACATCATTGGTATCTTGATAGGAATTGCATTGAATCTGTAGATTGCTTTGGGTAATATGGACATTTTAATGATTTTAATTCTTCCTATGCATGAACACAATGTGTGCTTTCACTTATTGGTATCTTCTTCAATTTCTTGTTTAGTGTCTTAATAATTATCTGAGTACAGGTCTTGTACATCGTTGGTTAAATTTATTCTTAGGTGTTTTTCTTACTATTTTTTTTTTGATGCAGTTTTAAATGGATTGTTTTCATAGTTTCCCTTTCTGCTAATTCATCATTGTTGTGTAAAAAAAAAATGCCACATATTTCTAGATGTTTATTTTGTATCCTGCTACTTTACTGAGTGCATTTTTCAGTTCTAGCACTTTTTTGATGGAATCTTTAGAGCTCTATATATACAGTATCTTATCACTGCAGATAATGACAGTTTTACTTCCTCCTTTCCAATTTGGATGCTTTTTTATTTCTTCTTCTTACCAGATTATTGTGTCTAGTACTTTCAGTACTATGTTGAACAAGAGAAGTGAAAGTGGATATCCTATCTTCTCCCCAATCCTAAGCAAAATGCTTGTAGTTTTTGCCCATTGAGTATGATGTTGGCTATGGGTTTGTCCTATATGGCCTTTATGACACTGAGGTGTGTTGCCTCTATTCCCACCTTGCTGAGAGTTTTATCATAAATGGGTGCTGGAATTTATCAAATGCTGGTTCTGCATCTATTGATATGATCATATAATTTTAATCCTTCATTTGTATTTATGTGGTGAATCATATTTATAGATTTGTGGATGTTATACGAACCTTGCATCCCTAGAATAAATCCCACTTGATCATGGTGTATTATCTTTTTAATGTATAGCTGAATCTGGTTTGCTAATATTTTCTCGAGGATTTTAACATGTATATTCATCAAGGATATTGGCCTATAATTTTTTTTTGTTTGTAGTGTCTTTAGGTGGTTTTAGAATGACATGCTGACTTATAAAATGAGCTTGGGAGTGTTCCCTCCACTTGAATTTTTAGAATAGCTGGAAAAGGAGAGCAGTTAGTTCTTTGAATGTTTGATAAAATTTTCCTGTGAAGCCATCCTGTCCAGGACTTTTGTTTGTTGGGAGTTTTTTGATTACTGCTTCAATTACTTGTAATCTGTCTATTCAGATTTTCTGAATCTTCCTGATTGAGTTTTGGAAGATTGTATGTTTCTAGGAATTTATCCATTTCATCCAGATTGTCCAATTTGTTGTCGTATAGTTGTTTATAATATTTTCTTGCATCTTTTGTGTTTTTTTGGTGTCAGTTGTTACATCTCCTCTTTCATTTCTGATTTTATTTATTTGTGTACTCTCTTTTTCCTCATGAGTCTCATTAAAGCTTTGTAAATCTTGTTTATCATTTCAAAGAACTAACTCTTGGTTTCATTGCTCTATTTGTCTTTTTAGACTCTGTTTTGTTTATTTCTGCTCTGATCTTTATTATCTCATTTCTTCTACTTATTTGGGTTTTGTTTATTATTCTTTTTCTAGCTCCTTTATTTTAGATTGTTTGAGATTTTTCTTGTTTCTTGTGGTAAGCCTGTAATGCTATGAATTTCCCTCTTGGCACTGCTTTCCCTGTATCCTTAGATTTTGGCTTTTTGTATCATTTTCATTTGTTTCAAGGTATCTTTTGATTTCTTCCTTGATATCATTGTTAACCCACTCTTCGTTTTGTAACATGTTATCTATTCCCCAAAACTTTGTGTGTTTTTCCATTTTTTCTATTGTGATTGATTTCTAGTTTTATAGCATTGTGGTCAGAGAAGATGCTTGATATGTTTTCAGTCTTCTTAAATTTACTGATACTTCTTTTGTGGCCTTAACATGTGGTTTATCCTAGAATAAGTTCCATGTATACTTGACAAGGATGTATTTTCTGGTACTCTGTTGCTTTGGGGTGAAATGCACTGAAGATATCAATTAAATCCATCTGATCTAGAGTGTGAATAAAGGCCAGTTTTCTTGTAACTTTTCTGTCTGGAAGGTCTATCTATTGATGTCAACGGGGTGTTAAAAACCGCTACTGTGACTATATTGATACCTCCCTTTATGTTCATCAGGATTTACTTTCATATTTAGGTGCTCCTGTGTTGGATGCATAAATGTTTACAAGGTTTATATCTCTAGTTGGATTGCTCCCCTTATCATATAGTGTCCTTCTTTGTCTCTTACTATAGCCTTTGTTTTAAAGTCTATTTTGTCAGATATAAGTATTGCTACCCCAGCGTATTTTTAAAATTTCCATTTGCATGACATCTTTTTCAATTCCTTTATTTTAGTTTGTGTGTATCTTTCATTCTGAGGTGGATCTCTTGTAGACAACATATACATGGGTCTTGTTTACTTATCCATTCATCTACCCTTATGTCTTTTGATTGGATCTTATAAGCCATTTACATTTAAAGTGATTATTGAGTCCTGACTGGTGTGGCTCAGTGGATTGAGCATCAGCCTGCAAGCTGAAAGTGTGCCAGTTAGATTCCTAGTTAGGGTACATGCCTGGGTTGCAGGCGAGGTCCCCAGTTGGGGGTGTGCATGAGGCAACCAATCGATGTTTCTCTTATTCATTAGTTTTCTCTCCCTCTCTTTCTCCCTCCCTTCTTTTCTCTCTGAAATAAAGTGATTATTGACAGGAATGTATTTATTGATGTTTTATTCTTTTAATTATCCTCCTCTGTATTTTTTTCTTCTTCTTTTTAAGATTTTATTTATTTTTAGAGAGGGGGAAAGGAGGGAGAAAGGGAAAAAAATACCAATGTGTGATTGCTTCTCATGCGCCCCCAACTGGGGACCTGGCCTGCAATGCAGGCATTTGCCCTCACTGGGAATCAACCCTTTGGTTCACAGGCCAGCACTCAGTCCACTGAGCCACACCAGCCAGGGCTCTTCTTTTTAAAATAGGACCTTTTAACAATCCTATAATTCTGGTTTGGTGGTGATGAACTTTTTTTAGCTTTCTCTTGTCTGAGAAACTCT